TTCCATGTTGTACCACTTGTATGTAAATTTCATGACCTTATCCTTTCTAACAGTGTAGCATTAATTTCTAATTATTGCTTCATGCTCCTCACTGAAGCTATAAAATATGTATATATTCAACCTAACTTTATTCTTACGGCTATCTTAACATTATCTCATTATCTGAGACTCTGTAAATTTTTGTTGAACTTGGTCCTAGAGAGATAGAACAGTGGGTCGGGCAGTTGACTTGCCTGTGGCCAACCTGGCTTCAATCCCCCACATTCCACATGGTTCCCTGAGCACCGCCATGAGTGATTCCTGAGCACAGAACCAGGAGTAAGCCTTGAGCCTAGCTGGGTATGGCCTTTTTTTTTTCTTTCTTAACAAAGGTTGCATTTGGTAAAAAAAAATAGATATTTATAGAAGGTTGTTGATTGAGGAATTGATGAATTCAGCATATTTTGAGATAAAACTCACAGGAGCGATTGATGGATTGGATGTGAATAATGACAAAGCTTGAGGAATAATTAACAAAAGCTTTAGGAACTTGGTGATTTCACTGAGAATGGAGAAAGAAGGCAAAGGCTGACATGCGATCCTTTTTCAAGAAGGTGTTTCGTTTCGCCAGAGCTGCCAAATAAGCACATGCACATCAAAGAAGAGATCAGGTCAGGAACTATCAAGCAGTAAGTGGCATCGAGATGGTCATTAAGACGACCAAGTTGGATGAACTTGTTGTGTGAGAGAATATGAGACATGGGGAGAAGTGGGCCCAGAGCCATGCCACTGCTTCTGCATTCATGGTCTGGGGCATCTGGAGAAGCCTTGAAAGAAACCAGGAAAGGGGCTGGAGTGATAGCAGAGTGGGTAGGACGTTTGCCTTGCACGCAGCCGACCCGGATTCTATTCCCAGCATCCCAAATGGTCCCCCGAACACCACCAGGAGTAATTTCTTAGCGCATAGTCAGGAGTAACTCCTGTGCATCACCACGTGTGACCCAAAAAGCAAAAGAAGTAAGGAAAGGAAGGAAGGAGGGAGGGAGGGAGAGAGAGAGGGAAGGGAAAGATGGAAAGAAAACAGGCAAGAAGAAAAATGAGAGGAAACCCATCATGTACTGAAGGTTCTCAAGGACACTTGAGAGATGATTGTTGCAGGTGGCCGTAGGGGGCCTCCCATGCTGGGCTGGGGTTTGGAAACCCACGTGGAATAGGTTGAAGACTAGGAAGAAAGGAAAAAAGTAGAAATCTGTAGATGGCCAGGAATGGGAATCGTGTTTCTCAGGAGCACCCATCACAGGTCCAACCTTCTAGAAGGTTTCGTGGAGTCTCAAACTCCTGAATGAGCCTGCTGAAGTCTGGTCCACTTAATCTTGCTTTTGCCAGGCCTAATTATCTGTTCTTCAGATCCCTCTTATAGTTTCCTAAGAGGACTCCCAGCTCTTACTTCTCTGCTTGTCAGTATCTCAACTCTTGTCAATAACTCAACCCATCTGAGCTAGGATAGTCTCCCTAAAGCACAGCTTTGCACATACTTCTCTGCTTCTTACAAGTCAAACCAGGTACTGGGAAAGGTACACTGGTGGAGGGATGGGTGTTGGAATATAGTATGACTGAAATCCAGTCATGAACAGCTTTGTTTTTTTAACAGATTTTTAATTAATTTTTTGCTTTTTCGGTCACACCTGGTGATGCGCAGCGGTTACTCCTGGCTCTGCACTCATAAGTTACTCCTGGTGGTGCTCAGGGGACCATATGGGATGCTGGGAATGAAACCCAGGTTGGCCGTGTGCAAGGCAATCACCCTACGCACTGTGCTATCACTTCAGCCCCTCATGAACAGCTTTGTAAGGGTTTGTCTCACAGTGATTCAATAAAAAATTTTAAAAAATCAAACCAGGGCTGATAGTCCAGTAGGGAGGACATAGTTGACCTGGGTTCTATTTCCAGCATCCCCTATGGTCCTCTGAGCAGCACCAGGAGTGATTCCTGAGTGCAGAGCAAGGAGTAACCCCTGTGCATCACCCAAAAAGCCAAAATAAAAATAATAATAATAATAGCAATAATAATAATAATAAACCAGATCGTTTTAGGCTGGCACTCAGAACCTTTGTTTTACCTTTCTCTCTCACTTCTTAGTCTTCATTCATTCTGTTCTTTTGAAGAAGTTGCTTTTCCCTAAATCTTAACCTCCATCTCTGTCTTTAGTTTTTATTGTTAACCTGAGGTAGTGCCTTTTCCCTCTGGTTTTCTCATTGCTTGTATATATATTCATATACTACCTCTAGCAAATTAGAAATCCTCCCCCCGTAATGAGAAAATGTGAAGGCTTTCAGTTCTATAGTTTTACTGAACCATTTTTTTAAAAGTCCCACATACCGGGTTTTATTTTAAACAACAATTATATTGCACCGCCACTACTGCATACAGCCTTCTTTATTACGAATTCGCACTGGAATAATTTATTGTCCGAAAGGAAGTCCCCTGGAGTTTTTGTCCTCCACTGTGGGTCATGCTGCTCTATAAATAGAGGATGTCCTAGAAAGAGCCAGTCATTGCTAGGTCTCTCTCTCTCTCTCTCTCTCTCTCGGTAGCAGCCTTCCAATGACTTGATGAAGCGCCCAGGTGAAACGGTTCCCTCAAGGGGAAGTCCGCTTTCCTCAACTGAGCGGCTGCTCCCTAATAAAATAGACACTGGATTCAAGAATTCTTATGGTCATTTAATTTTCAGGATGGAGGTTGAAGAAGAATAGTGTCTGAAATTATGACTTCTGGTTGGACTTTTTCAGACAGAAGGTACCTTTCAGAAATTTTGCTCACATTCTAAAGGAAAGCAGGGGTACTTTATAAAAAAAAATATACAACCAAAGAATAAAGAATTGCTCAGGGGCTGGAGCGATAGCACAGTGGGTAAGCATTTGCCTTGCACGCGGCTGACCCAGGTTCGATTCCCAGCATCCCAGATGCTTCCCCGAGCACTGTCTGGAGTAATTCCTGAGTGCAGAGCCAGGAGTATCCCCTGTGCATCACTGGGTATGACCCAAAAGGCAGAAAAAAAAAAGAATTGCTCATTAGGATAGTAAACTGAGTATTCAGTCATCGTCTCCATCCATCAGTGATCTGGGGCATGCCAGTGTGAGCATATCCATAAGCAGTCAGTTGAAGTTATCTTTTCAGACCCTTCTCTCATTATGCTTGTCCCCTCTCTGTGAGGCATTTCAGATTTCATGTCATTGCTGGAGGAGAAAGTGAGTTGTAGGCATGTCTAACTTCTATCTAATTAATCTTAGAAAGCAGGATGGATAGAATGAAGTTGGACTGTTGGCCGAAGGCAACAGTTGCATCCTTTCTTGAAAAGAGACCGAGACTAACATTCTTCTTCATTTAATGCACTAACTTCTTGGTTTAATGAACTGTGATGCTACAGCACCATTATGAAGAGCTGGGCGTTTTAGAAAAAAGAGGAGTGAGTTGACCATTTGATTTAAGGACCTTCACTTGGCTGTTGCAAGAATAGTATCTGCTTGGCCTTTCAGTAGGCAGCTTGGCAGTCCTTCTGCCAGCTGTTAATTATAGTCAACTCTTTCAGAACGTGTGGGCTAGTATAATTAGCAGCATGGAATACTGACTGGAGAATTCAAAGTATACCTAGGTTTTTAAGTACGTGGTAGATGTGACTAAAATTTAAATGTCTCATATTTTGATTATAGTAATACCCTCTTATTATATAAACTTACCTCTTTGCAATTAATTTTCATGAAAATTTTGTACAAAATTTACAACAATAAAAAAAAAGAAACCCTGAAAACAATATGCCTTGACTTCTTTGTCAAAAAAAATAGTTTTATGATTGTCCATCTATTTTGGTTACTTTTGGGTTAATTTTCCCAGGAAATTTGATATTTCAGCATCCTTAACTGCCAGTGACAGAATTATAAACCAGAGCGTTTTGTGTCAGGATGAGCTGTGACCTCAGTCCTTTGAGATGTGCTTTTTCTTTTACTTAAAAGGGGGAAGTAACTGTGCCTATTCTGGATGGTTTTATTAAATATCCTTCCCCCCCACCCCCACCCTCTGGTTTGTTTCTGGTTTGGGGGCCACACTCAACATTCTCGGGGTCTATTTCTGACTCTGCTTAGGGATCATCCTGGGCAGTGCCGAGGACCACTCTGGGGATTGAACCCCGGGCTCTATGCATGCAGAGATGTGTTCTAGTCTGTTTCACTCACTCCCTGGCCCCTTAAAGACCTTAAAAATATATTTAGGGGCTGGAGAGATCGTACGGTAGAAAGGGAGCTTGCCTTGCACATGGTCAACATGAGTTCGATCCCTGGCACCCCATAAGGGTCACATGAGCACTACCGGAGTGATTCCTGAGTGCAGAGCCAGGAGTAACTCCTGAGCATTCCTTGGGTGTGACCCCAAAACACACATATACACATATATATGTGTGTTCATATATATTATTTGTCCATGAAGGGAAATAGTCTAGGGCTTATCTAAGCTGATTTTTGCGGCGTGGGGTGGTATTTAGGACCATATTCACTGGTGCTCAGAGTTTATGCCTGGCTCTGTGATCAGGCATCACTCCTAGTAGGCGCGGGGGACCACATGGAGGGCTGGGGGTCAAACCTGGGTCTACAAGGCAAGCGCCTTGCCTGCTGTATTATCTCTCTGGCCACTAAATAAGTCACATATGAGATGGTTCCTGTCTGGCATTAAAACATTCTGTCTCTTCCAAAAATGTTTTATATTTTCTTACAAGTGTTTCCATGTTTAAATAGATTTGTCTTGGTAAAAAAAAAAATTAGTCATTACTAATAGCACATGGAATAATAACAGAAAGACTGAAACTAGTAACTTTTAGGCCAATTGTAGTAGTAATTTCAGTAAAGCGTGGCTGATAGAGGCATTTAGAAATATCACTTAGCATTTCAAATATGTACATTTTTTATCAGTTTCCATTAGTAATAGATTATTCTAAATTTATACTTTCTTTCTTTTTTTTTCATTTTGTACAGGAAGGAACTCGAAGCCTTCAAAGGTAATTTTGGATTTAATTCTTTGCTTTAAAGTAGATGAGTTCATTGATACCAGATGTTTGCTGTTGATCTTTAAATCAGACAGTTTGCATCAAAAACTCAAGTTTGCTTAATGCTGCTTTTGTAGGTTTTGTTTAATCACAAATTGTTTTAATATTCTCCTTTTTTTCTCTAACACATGTACCAAGTGAGAGGTTCTTCTAATGTTCATTAAGGGTAATTGATTAGGTCTGCCTGGTTTTGATGCTGAGGTTGTTGATGAGAGATTAGGACGATTCTAGTGTTTTCTATGCAGCTCTGGGCTCGAGGAGTGGCCAGGGTCTGCCCTGGGAGGCTGCGGCTCAGCTTTGAGCTCCAGGAGGAGGGTGGGGGATGCAGAAAGGTACCCCTGCTCTTGGCCACTTGGCTTCCCATGAGATCGTCTCTGTGTCCGACTCTGCCACGCTCACATACCTGACGAAGTCTCCACCTTTGCAGGCTCCATTCCTCCATCTGCAAAATCAGAAGCTCTCAGGAAATACATTCTGAGATACTGGAAGCACCCAGGATCACTTTTTCAATTCAGGGAACTTTCAGGGAAGGTTGGACACGGAGAAATGATTCTTTACCTTGTTGACCCTTCCTGGGAAAGCCAGAGCTTTCCAGCATTCCAAGGCCCTTCCTAGTCCCCGTGTTTTGATCACTGATCAGCAGGTAAACAGTGAAAACACTGTTCTCAGAGAGAGTCAACTCAGTAACCAGGCAGGTTTTGAGTTATGGACCATTACATTTATATTTCACATACAAGCTACTGTTGACCTTTAGATTTACCAAGTCATTAAAGATTTTCCAGATATTTACAACTGTATGGTGTTCGGATACTTTAGAATAAATCCCTAGCCTTCAAGATAACAAATATACTTATTCCTACTATAACTACAACTGTGAACAGACTTGTTTTGGGTGGATTTCTATTTGACTACAGTTCGAAATGGTTAAGCTCATGACTAATTTGTTGAGGATGAAGTTAAAGGATAGTGTGATAAAATGGATTATTATGACTATTATTGTTCTTTGTGAACTACTCATATACATTTAACAGCAATTTAATATCATATTTGAAATTCTCATGAAATGTTCTTTCTCTCCTCATTCATTTAGTTGACTAGCACTTTCTTACATAACATTTAGGGAAGAAAAAAAAAGCCATCATGTTAATATTAAAAGACAGACAGTGACACAGATTATACAAAATGTCAACTAGCATCTCAGTGTTGAGGCACTTTTTCAGTATGGCAGCATTTGAAGAAACAGAAGAGACCTTTTGCAAATGTTAGGCAGTTAAATATTATGTAATAGGATCATTTCACTTATGCTGAGATATCCTGTTAATATATATATCCCCCTAAATATGTACAGCATTTAATAGTACATCTGACCCACTAAATTTCAAATTTGAACAAACCCCAAATTGAGTATTGTATCATATCTAGATTTTTGTAGAACCAGTTTTCATTAAAAATTCTTTCCTCTCGAGTGTTTTGCTATATTTCAAAACCATGATTAGCACATAATTAGAAAATTCTCACTTGTCTTCTAAGACATTAGTGAAGAAAAAAGATTTCAAATACATGTAACAGTTTTATTTGCTGTTGCCTTTGCCTTTTAGAAAGGTTGCATGAAAACAAAATGTGTCATTTATAGATATATTTTGAGCTCTATTTATAAGTTAAAGAAAAAACTCACAGTGGGGACAAGAACACAAAATCAGTGCCTTTCAGAGTGAGGAATGGAGAATAGTGTCATCTACCTAGTTCTGAATTCTTTCTTCTGTGTTCGATGGAGGTTAATGATTTAAGTCATCCTTCACTGGTGCCATGGAGGCATTCTCTATCATATTATTGAGACTAGTTTTTTTATTGTTTGCACCACTTAAGCAATAAGATTTTCTGTGATCCCCACACTTCGCATGTGTCTAGACCTTTTTGTGATATTTCCTAGGTATTGTTTTTGTGGGACCTTCCTTAGTAGAGCTAGTGGCTGTATTTGGTGATGTTCAAGAGCCAGACAGGGCTTTGGCTCAAACCGGATCCTGGACCCGCCAGGCACACATGCCAGCCCTCAGAGTTGTCTTTCCGGTTCAGTGTTGGTCACTTGAATATTAGTTACTTGAAACAGGCAGATTGTCTTCCAAGTCTTTCAAATTTTTTTTTCTGTGAGGAATTAATTCCATTACTCTATATATGTCACGGTCACGGTCACAATCCTCCCGTTGTTCATCGATTTGCTCGAGCGGGCCCAGTAACGTCTCCATCGTGAGACTTGTTGTTACTGTGTTTGGCATATCGAGTACATCACAGGTAGCTTGCCAGGCTCTGCCGTGCGGGCAAGATACTCTCGGTAGCTTGCCAGGCTCTCCGAGAGGGGTGGAGGAATCGAACTCGAGTAGGCCATGTTGGCTGCGTGCAAGGCAAGCGCCTTTCCGCTTTGCTATCGCTCCAGCCCATTCTACATATGCAATGAAGTTTTTTTTTGCTGTTTGTAAACTCCTAAAAGACATGGAAAATTGTCCATGAATAGACATTTTTGTTGTTTAGGAAGTATCGTGCAGTGGTAAAGAACAAGGCGAAGGAGGGTTGATTAGATATCGATTTTTTCTTTATAAGATTCCTGACTTAATATATATGCATACCCACTCTTTTCCCTTCACCTAATTACCTCCCCAAATTAACCATCATTCTCTGTAATATCAGAAGAATTACAAACTAATACCCAAACATACTCAGTACTCCTGACTAATTGGCTATTTGCCAGCACATCCTAATCACTCACTTTAGCTTCCACTATCTTCATTGAATGCCCACCCAGCATGAATCATGTTTACTCCTAAATTCATTTGTATTTGTTCTTGTTATTAAAACATATAGTTTGACTAAATATTAGATAAAATGAAACATCATAGTTAAGGAGAACTGTTCATAAGAAAATTTAAGGTGATTGCTTGTAAGACATAATATAGGTAAGTAGCTTTGAGAGGGGAAAGTTGGAGTAGTGGATGGGGCAGAGAGAGGGGACAGAGGCCAGCATCCATCCCTGGAATCCCATATAGTCCCCTGAGCCCACCAGGAGTGATCCCTGAGGAGTGGCCCCCAAACAAAAACAAAAGCAGTATGAGAGAGATGCAGAGTCAAGGTCAATGGAGAAGAGAAAATGGAAGATATAAGGAGTTGGTTAAGATCCTAGAGAAGAAATCACATCTAATGACTGAGATTCCCGGCAAGCACACGTACTGGCACCACCACAGTCAGAGATGTGCAGGCCTCCCTGAGCACCACAGCCAAGTGAGCAAGCTCCACAGCCTGCCGTGCCCCCAAGCCCCAGAGGCAGGCATCTGTGCAACCCGCGTCATTGCAGCAAGGGGTGGGGGAACCTGGTTTTGAGAAACAAAAACACAAACAGAGATGACGGAGCTTATGATACCCAGACAAGTTATCCTTTTATTTTTTTATTTTTATGTAGGAGTGCTGCTATTTATTCAGCCACTGATTAGCTGATTGAATTGGGCATGAACTCCACCTTACTTTTTTTTTTTGTTTCATTTTTTTTTAATTTATTTATTGAATCACCATGAAAGCAGTTACAAAGCTTTCGGGTTTAAGTCTCGGTCATATAATGAAACACCTGTACCTTCACCATTGCCCATTATCCACCACCAAAACCCCCAGTATACCCCATTCCACACCCTCCCCCTACCTGTAGGGCAGATGATTTCCACATTACTCTCTCTCTACTTTGATTACATTCAATATTTTGATACCAGACCGACCATTATTTATATGGGATTTTACTCCAACACTCAGATCTGCTGAAAAGGCAACAGTAGACAATTTGTTTTCCATTGCTGGTTATGAATAGCATATGATGTTGCGTGGCTGCAGTAGTGGCCATGCAATTTTGAAATTCCGAAATTTTAACACTTAAATCTGGAGGGATTTCTGCCAAAACCTGCTGGGTTCCGAAATTTGTTCCAGAGTCTCTGGGATCATGGCTGTTAAGCAGCTTGATCAGGAGCCAGAAAGGCTGTTCGTGGGTGGCAAATCGGGGTCTCGTTGGGACTGGGAGGAAAGGGCCGGCTCCTCCCCTATCCCGTGAGGCCCTGCGTGTCTCATCACTGCGGGCCCAAACCTGATTGACCAGTGACCTCTGGAGGATGGCGGCTCTGGGCCGCCAGGGGGAACAGGCCAAGGCATGAAACCTATTCCCACCTGGGTTGGCCCATTGCCGGTAACCTACTGCAGGGACCCGACGCATTTCTGACAAAAGCCACTGGGTTTCGAGATTTATTTATGAGTCTCTGGGATCATGGCCATTAAGCAGCTTGATCAGGAGCCAGAGAAGCTGTTCCTGGGTGGCAACTCAGGGTCTCATTGGGATGGGGAGGAAAGGGCCAGCTCCATCCTCATCCCGTGAGGCCCTACGTGTCTCATCACTGTGGGCCCAAACCTGACTGTCCAGTGGCCTCTGGAGGATGATGTGTTCCACTGGGCTGCCAGGGGGAACAGGCCAAGGCACAAAACCTATTCCCACCTGGGGTGGCCCAGTGCTGGTAACCTACTACAGGGACCAGACACATTTCTGCCAAAAGCCTTTGGGTTTCGAGATTTGTTTCTGAGTCTCTGGGATAATGGCCATTAAGCAGTTCGATCAGGAACCAGAGAGGCCATACCTCCAATTATATAGCTGAGCCGGAGGTGGTTTGTGGGTGTGTCTCCCACATACCTAACTTTTGGCTGTTTACTTTCTTGGTAAACTTTACCCCAAGTTTTTGGGGTCTGGCCAAAGGCACAGCAGCAATTTTGGGGTATCTGGAAGTCTGAAGGTGCCATCAGGCTGCTGATGCACTCGCCTCACAGATACAGATTGACCTGCTGGCGGCATCATACCCCCCGGACAGGTAATCCTTAAGCAAGATCCCAACACTTCCCAGGGATCTTACTTAAGGATAACTTGATTCTCAGGGAAG